CATAAAATAATTCTATGAGGTCATGTTAGTATAGTTGAAGGCTACACAGCAATAAACAGTGCCAGATTTACAGTTTCATTTACCACTGTTTTTTTTTTTTTTTTTTACTTGTGAAACTTAGGAAGTAGCATGTAATCAATCTGAGAACAGATATGAAATTTTTTAAGTCTCCAAATTTCTCAATCCTCAGTTTTCTTATAACTAAGAATGACTTTAAGGTATATTTTAATTCAAATAAATACATATATATATACACGAATAGCAAAATTTTCATTTCTTTATAAAATACAACTTATAAAGGAAGTCACCTCAAGTAAAGTTACACAATATTGTGGTTGCTGATTTAAAATAATTTTCTACATGACTTCATTTCTAAAATATCTGAAAAAAATACTCAAGCATGAATAAAAATAGAATTCACTTTCATTTTCTGTAAAAATCACCTTAACAAACTACAGTTTTCAGTCTCGCCTATCTTCTCATTGGCATAATTATATGCAAGTTGAGAATTTTGTAAAGATGGGTGTATATACACTACTACCAGGGAATATAACTTAAAAATTTATATACAACATATATATATGCATATAATTACATGCCTATGACAGAATCTTAGACATAGCTCATCTATACACTTTTAGTTTTTTCAGAATAAACATTAAACATATGATATAAACCATGAAAATGAATTCTTCAAATAGAAACTAAATATAATAAATTCTATGAATATTCTGACTTCCTGTAGATACTCTGACATTGTTTGTCCTTCATAGGAGGATCTTCTGCTCCTTCATCTAAGTTATTCCTAGTATTCCTTTAAAGGTCAGCAAGTGTCAGCTCAACCAAAGTTTTCCCTGACATCCTAGACCAGGAAAAGCATTTGATACGCTCTCTCATTACACAGTACAATTATCCCAAAACTGCAACTACATAATAGTATAACTGGTTATTTACTATCTCTTAATGCTGAAAGGTGTTTGAGAATAGGACATACTTATGTCTGATTGTAGCCTTAGAACTAAGCACAGAGCTTTATTTAAAAAAATTAATTAATTAAAAAAAATAATTGTGTTAGCCAGGCGTGGTGGCACACAGCTGTAGTCCCAGCACTTGGGAGGCAGAGGCAGATGATCTCTGTGAGTTCAAGGCCAGCCTGGTCTACAAAGTGAGTTCCAGGACAGCTGGGGCTACAGGAAGACCCTGTCTCAAAAAGGCCAAAAAAAAAAAAAAAAAAAAAAAAATTGTGGACTTTGAAGAATTTTCTGGTTATTTTAGAAAAATAAAACACTATATCACAAACTTACTACTCTTTTAATGAGACAATCATTTTGTTATGTCCCTGTTTTTCTTCTTTGGAAAATATAGTTCACTTTTCTGTTACAGTAATTCAATTAATATAGAACTTCCTTTTAAAAAACAGTACTACAAGTTGGGTGTGTTGGGGTGCACCTTTATCCCAACACCTGAGAGCAGACACAGGCGGACTGCTGTCAAACAGAGGTCAGCTAGGCTAGCTGGGCCAACTAGGGAGACCATCTCAAAAAAAAGGGGGGGGTGGGAAGGACACACTACTACTTAGTAAGCTCAGATAACTTCTTTCATCTATCATTTTCCATTTTACAGAAGACTTGATGTTTCCTCATTTCTTTGTTTGGAGAGAGAGTATCATGTAACCACCACCTCAAATTCCATGTGTAGCCAATGATGACCCTGAATTTCTGATTCTCCTGCCTCTACTTCTTAAGTGTTGGAATTACAGGTATGTGCCACTACACCCAGGCACGCAACTCAAGATTTCATTCTTAAACTATTATTTTTTATATGAGCATCAAATAAGCTAGCAAAAAATACAATTTAAATTAACATATAACATTTTTAAAGTATTTCTAAGGGCTGGAAAGATGGCTCAGGAGTTAATGACACTGGCTGCTTTTGCAGAGGACCCATATTCGATTCCCAGCATCCACAAGGCCCCTAACAACCATCAGTAACTCCAGTTCCAGGGGAATCTGCCCTCTTGTGACCTCCATGGGCACTGCATGACATGGGTGCACTTACACACATGCAATTAATATATCCATATACATAAAATAAAAATAAATAAAAAACATTAAAAATTTTTTAAAAATCTGAAAGCTTTAAAAACTTTTGTTACAACACTATAGTTACCAATGATGATGCAGAAAAAAAGGCAGAAAATCCTAATAGCACTTTAGAAAGAATAATACTTATGCTTAAAATTAATTATTTTTCAATACTTATTTTCCTCAAAAATCAGTAGAAAATACTGAACTGTTTTGGTAGTCTTCAAAATAACAAAAAGATTCTTTGTAGTAAACATCAATTTTTGCCCTACCTAGCCAGATTTCTCTGATACTACCTGACAGACTTCTTGAGGAAACTGCCTATCTCTTCAATGAAGATAGCTCTATGGTTCTAAAAGAGATGCCCATGTAGTATCTTTGTCTCCCATAACCATGGGGTGAGACTATCATTAGAATGAACCAAGAATCTTACCACATTTTCCTCAACATACGATTATTCAAATGGTGGACATAGACCCAAACTGGGCCAGAGATTTTTCCAAAGATATTTTGGGAACTAGAAATGATAGGAGGAGGAGTTGGTTATATGCTTGGTTAATGAACTGAGCTCAATCTAGAACTATCAGAGGCTCTGGATAAATTAAAAAAGAAGATTAAGGATAGGAAGGAAGAGAATAGTTCTAGATGAGATTTTATTATGAAGCTCCTCGAATTAGCTCCAGTTGTTACTTTTCTATAGTTTAGTGAACTAATAAATTATACAAACCCTCATACATATGCTTTTCTCTCATTCTATTTATTTTCTTAGCAGTTTGAGTTATTTTTTTCAGTTCTAGAATCTTGACACAGTCCCATATTCCATTAAGCATGACAAAATACAAAAATATTTTTAAAGGTTTTTATTTATTTTTATGTTTTGTTGTACAAACATTTTGCTGGCATATATTTATATGTGCCATGGGCATGCGGTACCCCAAGAGGCCAAAAGAAGGCATTAGATAGTTGTGGGCACCCATGTGGGTGCTGGGAACCAAACTCAGGTCCTATGCAAGAGCTGCAAGTCTGCTTAACTGCTGAGCTATCTCTCCAGGCCCTCAAAATATTTTAAAATAATAAAGATGTTAATTTAAGCTTCCTCTTCCACATCTAAAAATGTCATACCCTAAATTTTCCCTCCTAAAAGTTTAAGCACATATAATCCATTTTTAAAGAAATACATACACATGTTCTCTACCACCACCACCCCTTCCTTTGAAACAGGATCTAGCTATGTAGCCCAGGCTGGCTTCAAGCTTGTGATCCTCCTCCTCTGTCTCTCAAGTCCTAAGATTTACAGACATGTACTACCATGCACAGCTTTACATATATTCTTTTAACCTTATTTTTTGTTTTCATCCTGTTTCTTCTTCAATGTTATGCTTCCAAGGCTACAGAATGTCACTTTTTAACCATCATATTTCTTAATCTCAACCCTGATTTTGGTATCTCATTATTTTTTAACATTGCATGACACTGTCTGAACGTTATACATATCTTCTCAAATCCCTCTGAAAATGCTATTAATTTTATATGTCAATGTTTTGGTTTCTCACATTAACACTATTCTCCCATAACTCTTTTTGTTTTGCTTCCACTGTATTTTTTTTTCATGTTGAAGGCAATCTTAAAAAGTCTGATGATTGTTTAGTAACCATTAGTATTGGAAAAATAAAGCCATAAGCAGAAAAGTAGGAGGAGCCCTAGGAGCATAAGTTTCCTTTTTTTTTCCTTTTATTTTTCTTTAGGCAGGGTTTCCCTGTAGCTCTAGCTAGCCTGGAACTATGTAGACCAGGCTGGCCTTGATCTCAAGAGAATCCTCCCTCCGGCCTCCACCTCCCAAGTGCTGAGATTAAAGGCATGTGCTATGCCCAGCATGAACATGAGTTTCTTGTTTAGTGAATTCTATTAGGGTAATTAATAGCCAGCTATTTCAAGAGGAATCCTCAGATGCCAGAATGCAAAGGTCACTGCACCTGCATCATTTAATTTCTTTAGAGGAAAGAAACCCACCTGGCCCTGAAGTTGGTAAATGGCCTAAACTGAACAATCTGCAAGTAATTCCACCCATATTCTCTCAAATGATGTCAGCTACTATGGACAATTTCACACTTTGCATGTTCACATTCTACACCTACTGGTGAAGAAGGCAAGGCTTCCTTCTTTAATCACTACATACTTTTTAAAACCTACAAATGAGTATATATGTACATAAAACAGTAAGAATTTCACAAATACTTAACCTTTGAGACATAATCTTTTCCTATGCATTATGCAGTGGTGATAATTTCACAACTCAGTGTTCTGGTATGAGTGCAATCTGAGGCAAAGTAGATGCAAACAGATCAAGTTTTAACTTGCTCTCCTGTATTTCCAGTACCACTCCTTTCTCCTTTCTGAACGCCAGAAAATCATGGCTATCTTTCTTTTCATTCACTGGTGATCCTTCCCTCTTGTCAGTATATTTCTCTTTTACTTCTAAATCATCCTAGTGAGCAGGAATCAAACACACAGAAGACCAGTAAATAATTTCAATTCAAATTTCTCTAGAAGCATTTTTAAAAACCAAGAGCTTCCTAACCTCTTTTCATCATGCTTCAAGGTTCCTCTACTAACTGCCACGGCCTCAACTGCCGTATTTGGAGACTTACCCTTGATTTGCCAAGGCAATATGCAGAATTAAAAAGCAATAAACAATGCTTGTAGTGACCAGAAGAATGTGTGTATGACTCCATTTCACTCTTATAAAAGTAAAATTTGTTCTTAAATGCTGAAAATTGACCCTAAATACTTAAGTGAAGAAATGAAAATTTCTTTCCTGAAGGAAAGACTTCAGGAAAGTTTTCTTCCTCAGAAGAAATACCAAAAATAATCTCAGCATGTTTAAAAATGTATGGATAAGAAGTAAAAAGTACTTACACAGCAAGACTACTTAAAACATATTGTACATGTTCACATTCATCTGGGAACGATGCACTGGCTGATGTGAAACAACAAAGTGCAGTCTGAAGAACCTGAAGCTGCGGTAAAGGAACCTGCCATCTTCCAGCATAATCTTCAACCACCTGAGAGAGAAGTATTCAAAAAGTACATTACTATAAGAAATGTTCCCAACTTATAGTCTAAAATGTAGATAAAAATTTAAGGATAAATGAAAATATTAGTTAGGCATAAACACAGAATAGGTAAGGAAAATGCCCTATACTGTTTATTTCACAGTATATAACTAAAAATTATCTTTGAACATGTGGAAAAAATGCAATATATGAATGACTATGTTCAACTGCCAAATCTTTATCAATCTTTGTAACTAATATTCTTTACCACCCATATCAGCTTTTGTTAAAAAACCAATTTTAGCCCAACATAGTGATGTATGCCTTTTAATTTCAGCACTTTTGAGGCAGAGGCCACCCTGATCTGCACAGTAAGTGCTAGACCAGCTGAGGCTATAAATTTTTAAAAATCAAAACAGCTATACAGAATATAGTAACAAAATTGGAAATGAGGGTCTAGAGAGATAGCAACATAGCACTTAAAAGCACTGGCTGGTCTTGCAGGGGACCTAGGTTCTAACTCCAGTATCCACAATGTGACTAACAAGTCTGTAACTCCAGTTCCAGGGGAATCTGATGCCCTCTTCTGACCTCTATGGGTACTGCATGACATGGGTGCATTTACATATATACAGGCAATACATTCATACATAAATAAAACATAAAAAGAAAATTGGAAATGAACATTTATTATTACCATCATTTATAAGGCTTTAAGCATTCTGTCAACAAATGTTTATAAAGATACAGTAGCATGATACTGTGATTATGAATATTTATACACCATATTATGGAAAAGAGTCCAAAATACCTCAGGCTCAACAGATAACCTAAGCATCCACTGTTTTTACAATTTTCAATGAAGAACAGGGGAAAAAAATCATAGCAAGAATGTCATAGGGCTGAGGAAATGGCTGAGTTAAAAGCACCTGTTGCACAAGCAAGAAGAACTGAGTTCAAATCCTCAAAGCCCACATAAAAAGCAGGCATGGTCATGTGTATGCCTGTAAAACCAGTGCTTGAAGGGGAGGGGAATTGATTATTGCCAGGGCTTGCTGGCAGCCAGTCTAGCTCCATACTCACTGAGAGGCCCTGTTTCAAGAGAATAAAGCAAATGAGAGAGCTAGATACCAAAGGTCCTGCTCTGGCATCAATGTATGTGCACAGGTTGTGTGCATCACAAATATACATACACATACCACTAAAACACACAAACACACACACACAGTAATTTGTCATTTTGAGCTTTCCTATTAGAGTAATTTTGTAATGAAAAAATCTAAAGTTAAAGTCTTATCTTAAAACATCAAAAATGATTTCAAAGTAGATTCTAGTAAGGTAAAAGTCATTTGGAATCTGGAAACACTGAGAGCCCAGTACTTTTGGGTGTTTAATAAATCATGTTCTTTGCTCAACTCATTACTCCTTAAGTTGATATTTTTATAACATGGAGTGTTTGGGGGTTCTGGAAAGTGGAGCAGGTGCCTCTGCATCTTCACATTCCATGCAGTCTTGAAGATTATTTTTTGAAGATCGAGAACTATATAAACAAAACATGCCATAACCTTTATAATACAAATGGCAACTGTCACAAACCTGTTATAGCCTCATGTCTGAATTAAATGTTTAACATTCTTTAGTTCAACTATTTTCCCAATGGTCTCTAAAATTTTCATTTTTTCTCAAGAACCTATCTATCCTGTTCACAGTCCAAATGGTCATCATTTTCCTTTTAAGCATGGTATAGAATGGAGCATAAGACTCCAAGCTGATGCAATTCACAATGCCACATTCCCATTTCTGACTATTACACTAATATAGCTTGAGGGCAGTCTGGATTTTGGTTTTCCACTCTGCAAAAATGCTGTGCTTTTTGTACACAGATCACTATTAAAGCAGTTCTCCCAATCTTCTAACTTTCCATCTTCCCATTTGGAGTACCAGCCCAAACCTTTAGTCATGTATTATTAATCCATTAGCACTTACTCGCAGTTTGAATCACTTACGAATATGAAATAGTTCATCATGTCTTCAAGAGTGCACACAAAAAGGAATTCATACATAAACACATATTGGGGTCAAGTTCAGATCCTCCAGTTATATACTAAAAGACTACTAATCAATATCTTTTATTTATCCGTCCATATGAATATCATGAGGAAATACATATATTAAGTCTGCCATGGCTTCTGTATCTACTATCAATAACATTATTTTTTAAAAATAGAAATATTTTAAATGATCTGATTTGATATACTCATTGATGGCAAAATGATCAGGATATGATCTACCTACCGACAAACATCTATTCAAAAAACTATTCAGTAATTTCCCTCTTTAAAAATTTTTTTCATTTGTTTTGTTTTTAGTTTATTTGTGTAAGTGTTTTGCCTGCATTATGCAAGTGTACCACATGAGTGCAACGCCCAGAGGCCAGAAGAGGGTGTTGACCCCCTGGAACTGTAGTTATGAATGATTGTTGGCAGCCATGTGGGTGCTGGGAACCGAACCTGGGTCCTCTACAAGACTACCTATTGCTCTTAACTGCTGAGCGATCTCTCTCTCCAGCCCCAGTAATTTCACTCTTTATACTTTGTGCCATAGTCAAAGGTCCTCATAACCTATATGAAAAGCAGCTTACCCAAATCTGTCTTGACAACAAATCTTCAGTTCTGTCAATTTCTATAAATATGACTGAATACAAAGTACTAAAAGTCTACCAAGATATGGTTTGAGAAATTTAAATGTATTTGAAGACCTCTCCCAAACTTTCCTTACCCATTTTGAGTTTTAGTCCTTTTACCCACCAACAGTTCTTAACTTGAAGAGAAAAATTATCCACCTTGCAGATGAGATCTTAATGAAGTAGCCGTGTAGCTGTGCCTTTTTCTACCCAAAGTACTCAGTCATATTAACTGATTTTAAGAGAAGATAATGAACTTGCACAGGAAGAAATGAAATTAACTATAGTCAATATAAGAATGTATTCAATTCAGGGGGAAAAAAGACATCAAAATTAACTTCAGACCAAAAAATTAACCAACTATACATAAAAGTTTGAAACAAGTTCCAGATTTAGCACTATCATATTAAATGTAAATACATTTCTTAAAACAATTCAGCCTACATAATAGTTTTCACATAGCAATATGAAAAATAGCATACATAAAAAATAATGGGGGCTTCAGTGAGCCAAGTAATACAGTGAATTTAAAATAGTGATTGGATATAAGTTTGCCCCACAGGAGGGATTTCATACCTAGTACTGTACTGTAGTCAAAGGCCCAAGTTTGGGGGAGATGATAGGGCTTAGGTGAAAACTGCTAGAGGGGTTTTGTTTTTGCTTTTGATGAAATGGTCATGCTGTCAAATTGCCTTCTAAATATGTGTATGCCCACAGATCTATGCTGCTCTCAATTTTGGTTAGAGAAGCTTCTTTTTGCAATGGGTAATAGTAGTTAATGTAGAGACTTGTGGTAGATCAAAATACTGAGGATTAAAAACTCTGAGTACTCTGCTGTGGATGGCATATCAAGCTTCTCCCATCTAAGGTTTAAGGAACATCCAGGGAAACGGGGCAAAAAAAGAATGTAAGAGTCGGCAGATGGGGAGGAGAGGTGTGAAATGCTGACTTTTGGACATGCCATGGCTGTTTCACACATCAACTCACAGCAGCTGAGGTTACCTATACAAGGCCTGGACAAGATCCAGCATGGATTGAAGAAGGGTCCCCAAGGCCATCCCTAGTGGAAGACCTATTGGCAGTTGATGGCTGCAGAGAGAGGGAGAGTCACTCTTTGGTATTTTGCTGCTGGTAGGTTGTTCATGCCCCAATGTATGGCCCCATGCTCACGTGCATGTGGGTAGTACTAATTAGACTCAAGGGGTTAGTGACAATAAAAATAAGACATTAAGTTGGGAGTGAGATTCAGTGGGGGTCTTAGAAGGAGTTGGAGGGAAGTAATAGATATATATGATCAAAATACATTACATAGTGTCTTAGTTTTTTTCTTCATTGCTGTGACAAAACACTCTGACCACTACCAACTTGGGGAGGAAAGGGTTTATTCAGCTTACATCTCCCAGGTCACAGTTCATCAGGGAGCCCAAGGTAGGAACTCAGGGCAGGAACCTGGAAGCAGGAGCTAGAGCACAGTCCACAGAGGAATGCTGCTTACTGGCTCACTTCCTGGCCCCTGCTCAGCCTGTTTTCTTATGCAACACAGACCCACCTGCCCAGGGGTGGCACCACCCACAGTGGGCTGGGCCGTCCCACATCTCTCATGACGAAGATGCCCCTCAGACATGGCCACAGGCCAGTCCAATAGAGGAAATTCCCCAACTGAGGCTCCCTCCACCCAGGTGTGTCAAGTTGACACTAAAGCTATCCAGCACACATAGCAAGGTGTGGTGGCACACACTTTTGATGCCAGCATGGGGGAGAGAGAGGAAGGTGGATCTCAAGTTCAAGGTCAAATGGGGCTACAGGGAGACCCTGTCTCATAAAGGACAAAAAAGACATTAAAAAAAATTATATAAATGTATGAAAATTTCAAAGAACAGCTAAAAATATTTTTTAAAGTTGAAAAAAAAAAAAAAAAAGAAGAGACTCTATAGCCTTATTCCACACTAAAAACTAAAAACCACCTTGGTTTAATTGACATTAGAACACTGTGAGTAGGGCTGGAGAGATGGCTCAGCAGTTAAGAACACTGGCTGCTCTTGCAGAAAATCCGAGTTTGCTTCCCAGCACCCACGTGGCAGCTAACAATGTCCATAACTCCTGTTCCAGGAGATCCAATGCCCTCTTCTGACCTCCCTGGGCACTGTATCACACAGGTGCACTTACATAATGCAGGAAATACACTCATAGACATAAAATGAAAATAATAAAAATTTTAAGAAGAACACTGTAAATAACTCTTTGAACCAAGGTAACTGTAATATGTAACATCAATTGTGACCACTTTACCATTTTATCCTGTTAAAACTGATCCTGCTAGTTTACA